TTTCTTGCCTTTCTTTACCATTGTTTATTCTTTGGGACATACTGCATAGAGCAGTATTTCTTCACCATCAAACACTGTCTTTTTCTTTCTTCCACGAGTTATTTCCTTCCCTACACCTCTTGTCCAGATCTATAAACATGTTCGCAGTGGCTATGGCCAAGACATCTGAAATTTATACTTTCCCTTTGAACCCATAAAATTTGGCTTCGGCTTCTTTCATTACTCAGGAAACAACTTCAGGTTTACCAACATAAAAGTAGAACATGCTCTTTGATATGGACTTTCCATTCACTTGATGCTCCTTCATAACAAGTTACTGCTCTAACTCATTGGGAGAGAGGGTAATAAAACCATGTGTGGGTCTCACAACAGCCACTTTCCCAGCAATATTCACAGGGACAGCTTGCATGTATAACTCTAGCCAACACGCATTAGGCACAATGGGGAGGGGGCGAGGTTAAGTTTCGGCAAAAAATGCACACTACCTGAAAAACAGTATAAAGGACCTGTTTTAATTATGAGAGAAATGCATTTCTGTCTTTCAAAGACATGAGTAGTTGTACAAACATAGCTTTAAACTTTATACTTTTATTATCAACAGTAAGAAAGATTATGACTTAATAACTAATGATATTGTATAGGTTTCAAGTCTTCAACCCAGAAGCTATGGAGTTCCAATCTTGCGTATTTTTGTTGCTCAAACTCACTGAATCAACAATGGAATTAATTCTTTCTCCTGCTCCCTTCCAAAACTTATTTGCTCTCCAGTGCCTCCTCTCAGTAAATGGTATCACCTTCCAGACAGTCGCTCAAATCTGATAACTCAGTGTCTACTCACATAAAACCACCAAATTCTTTTGATGCAATAGAAAAAAGAGAAAGTGTTATCACTCAGTCGTGTCTGACTCTTTGTGACCCCATAGGCTGTAGTCCACCAGGCTCCTCTGTCCATGGAATTCTCCAGGCAAGAATTTGGAGTGGAGTTGCTTGCCATTCCCTTCTTCAGGGGATCTTCCCAAACCAGAGATTGAACCTGGGTCTCCTGCATTGCAGGTGGATTCGCCAGGGACTCCCTGGTGGCTTAGATGGTAAAGAATTCAACAGTAGCCTCATCATATTGTGAAGCCCTGGTGGATTAAGGTGGTAAAGATTCAACAGTAGCCTCATCATATTGTGAAGCCCTGGCGGATTAAGGTGGTAAAGATTCAACAGTAGCCTCATCATATTGTGAATCTGATTCAGTTCAGGAGACCTCTCTCTCCATATTGCTGGCCCTCTAGTCTGAGACTCCAGCTGTCACTTGCAGAAACGAATTCAGAAACCTTCCAACTGAGCTGCTGCCTTTAATCTGTACCCCTCATGTGGCCCTCCACCCTGCACTACATTTCAGTCTGAATGACAATTCTCAAATGCAAACTGATCCTCCAAGCATATAGACTGATCCTCATTCCCAGGCTTGGCTGAAACACACCCTTTCTCCTATTTGGAACATTTTCCCAGACTCCCATGCAAAAATAGCTGCACCCTAGTTTCAAAACCTACTGCCATAAACTTTCTCATACTAACCTTAGTCTATCAATCACTTCATCCCTAACACCTTACACTAATGGTACTATATTTGCTTTGGGTTTGTGTAATTTTTATGACATCACACTTTCTCATCTTTAAGGAAGTATATGTTAATTTAAATTCCTCCCTACATCCTACCCCCCCCAAAAAAGTAGATTTTTTTGCCAGTGTTAATAGATATTTAAAGGATGAACACAAGTTTGATTCATCAAGAGTACTAGTTTTGGAAGGTAATGGATTTCAGATCTTAGATCTAACACAGGCTGTGCAATTCCAGGGTCCTTAACTTCTCTCAGTCAACTTTTCCCCATGTCAGGAGACTTTTGAAGCACTGTAGTATATAATATTCTTGAGTGGGTTGCTCAGGTAACCACACTCCCCCACCCAAAGTCGTGGTAACATGGTGCAGGCAATGGGAACGCAAAAGCCAGCTGGTAGATGCAATGCTCCAGGCCTTCCTCAAGCCCACAGGAGGCCCACTTCATGGCCAACAAGGACAGGTACCCAAAGATTGTGGTCTAGGAGAGATCCTGCTCATACTGCACTCTTAACACTTTTCCTTTTTTTTTTCTTTTCTTTCTTCTTCTTGTAAGGATTGCAGAATAAAGGCCTTGCATATCTGGAGAAAATCCAGTCTGATCTTGGCTACTCAGAAGACTTGCAGACAAAATCCTAAGCTGGATTCTTGTACTGACCTACGGCTTGTCCTATTGAGGGCAGGAAACACTAATTATCACAGATATTTCTGTGCCAGGCAACCCAGAGCAAGTCACAGGGGTCATTTAGCAGACCATACAATGGTAACATCCAAGTACTGACTTCACTGTGTCATTAAGATTATAAAAAATAGTATCTGACACATATTAACTCTCCAGTAATGATAATTAAATAGTATAATGTTTTAGTAAACTAATATTCTGCAAGGCTAATGCTATGCATACATGGAGAATAAGAGTGTTGACTATGGTGTAATGGAGGAATTAAAGTCAACTTGATCAAATACATTCCCATAAGGCATTCACACACAACCTTGTTGAGGTTATTTTTGGTCATCTATGAGAGTATTTTTCCATTAAGTTTATTTTTTTCTCTTTTATCCAAAATTATCCAACAGAAGGGGACAACAGAGGATGAGATGGTTGGATGGCATCACCGACTCAATGGACATGAGTCTGAGCAAACTCTGGAAGATGGTGAAGGACAGGCAAGCCTGGCGTTCTGCAGGCCACAGGGTCTCAAAAGTCGGACAGGACTTTGGCAACTGAACAGCAACAACAATATCATTTTACCATGTGTTTTTATGTTTGAGTTTAAAATACTTCCTCTAAGTATTGATCCTTCAATCGTGGGTCTATGAAAAAAGGAGGCTGACTAATGCACAGATGATACACTTTACTCCAAGAGACAGCAAATGAAGTCACAGTGAAAACACTGTTCCATGGGGCTGCAAACCAATACAAGGGTGGGAGATGGGAGGAAGGTGAGTTATCATCCAGTACAAGGCAGCAGAGAACTCATAGGAACCTGCAGCCACTTCATAGAGACTCAAAGACCCTCCTTTCCCAGCAGCCACTTCATTACTAAAGGAGACCAGCGTCAATCGCCTTGTTAAACTAACTTTGAATTTACACATGAGATTCAAAATATGAAGTGTGTGCTGCTGGGAAAACTGCTTAATATTTCTAAGGCTTCTTTGGATGGGTGATTTTTAGGATTAAATTAGAATATCTATAAAAACTGTTATCTGACGCAGAGTAAGTGCTCAAGAACTGTTTGTATTATTATACAACGATAAATATTTTGCAAAGTGGATGCTCTGAACCAGTAGAAAATATAACTATAAATACGAATCATTTTGGAGTTTGCTTTGCTGATTGTCCATTGTATGGCATGGGCTTTGCTAAAACTCCACAATCCTAAGACAAATAAGACTGTCCAGATTCTGTGTTCCAGAATCACAATCTGGGGTGGGATTTTTTTTTTTTAAGGATAATTTTATTCAAGTGAGATCATTGCAAAGGGAGGAGCAGCTGAGCTAAAGTGCAGAAGCCAAGAAAGCCACCAGAAAGTGTCAGGCAGACGGTGAGGAGTGAAGCTGCCCATGGCTCGTCTTGGATTTAACAGCTGGAGGAGGCAGGAGCATGAGCTGGGGTTCTGGAGTTTGGCAGATGAGGCTGCAAATCCTGTCACTTCCTATTTGGGTGACTGGAGGGAGTCACAGTCTCAAGAGTCGAATCTCTAAGCTTTAGCTTCCTCATTTGCAAAGCAGAGGAATGGAAGAGTTACCTAATAATATTTATCTGGACTTGGTTGTGAATTATAAACTAACTGCTTAATGTGGTGTCAAACATATAACAAGCACTCAAGAAAAAGGTTACTTTTAGAATTATAAAAATTAATCCTATTAACATGAGTGCTCTATTGCTATTAATACAATCTGTCAATGTGGTTTCTCTGTCCAACACAGCACAGACAAATTCCACAAGCTGCCTGTCCTCTTTATGACATGCCTGCCTTTTATGTAAATAAAGTGAGCCTGAGAAATCCATGAGACACCTGAGAAGAAAGCTTGAGTGGCTGAAGAAATAAAGGTTTACTAGAGGAATCAGGATGTAGTGGAACCGAATGGTTCTTCTGTGGACTAAGTCGTGAGACACTGGGCAAATTACTGACTGTCTCCAAACCTCAGACTGCTGGTCTGATCACTGTAGACCACATTAACTCACTCACTGTTCTCTAATAACAGGGCATCTGGCAGGATGGTGTGGCTTGAGGTGGACCATCAATATCTCTCAGGTCCCTGTCCCACAGAAAGACATAATAAAATGCTTCATGAAGAGGAGACTAAGTGAAATCTGTGGTTTCTATCTTTTCTTATGTGAAAGTATTTCAAACACATTTTACACTTTGGCAGGGGTCTTTACCTTCTCTGTGAATTTATGTTCAGGGCATAGCGTATTTATAAATTAGTTTCATGGCATATTATTTTTAGGCTGCAGAGGAAAAGCATTCTTTGTTCTCATAACAGATGATTGGTTTTACTAAAGGGGTTACTGTGTTTTACGAAGTTTAGGCTACCCAAATGAAATATCATCAAATATAGCCTATAGAGATAAGTTCTAATATTTACAAATTAAGATCTAGTCAGTAATATCAGATTTGGGTAAATGGATTCATATGTGTCTACAAACATCTATCTATCTATCTCTGTATCAGTTTGTCAATAAAATGCGCCCATTTCTGATTTATAATATAAAAGCAGAACACATAAGCCAATATTGGCATGTATGGACACATATAAAGCTTTCCACAAAAATCACCTGTTTTTCTGTCTCTTTACATAGCTCTGAAGTCAATTTCGGCATACAGTTTGGCTTTTAAAACACCTCCTTTGATATCTATTCCACTGTGTTGGATAAACAAATACTTACTATATGCACATCCAAACACCTCGATTCGCATTCCAATTCTGCCCTTGGGGTTCCACTCTAGAGGGATGAAGCGCAGAAATCTGGCTTTGATAGAAGGCTGGAGTCTATAGTACACAACACTATCTGCGTTTCCATTTCCTACAAATCCCTAGAAGAAAAGAGCAAGAAGGAAATCAGTGCATCTGGAGAGTATCTATTTCACTTTGTCCCCTAAAACACCAATAAGCAGTGTCTGATTTGCTTTTTAACTTATAAAATGGCAACCATTTAAAGAAGATCATATTATTAATAGTTTTATCATAATGTTTCATCTGCAGAAGTTACTATAGTCTAAACTGCTTTCTATATAGCAGTTTAAATCCCACCATCTGCTTGAAGTCAGCTTTCACTGTGAAACCCCCAGTAAAGTTTGTTTCTATGAAGTGCAGATGAAAATGAAAGTTATTGACATGAACAGTGAGAACATCCTCTTGTATTCAAAGACTAGAATCAGATTCGGCATAGAAGTTGCTCCCGTAGCTGATGAATGAGCAAGGTTAAGGCGTGTTTCTATCGTTTCACTTTCTCATCTGACTCAGCAACATAAATGAGAGCATCACCAGACCTTCAAGTCAGAGAACAGGCTGTTAAACTTCGCTCACCACACAGCTGGATACACACATTAAAAACTGTTGTTACACGTCATTTTTCTTCAGTTAAAAAAAAATAATAAAGTAAAAGCTTCTGTATTTAAAAAATTGTTAAGGGAAACTGGAATCAATAATAATTGGAAAGACCTGAAATTAGACTGACAGACTCTAGAATCTGAAAGCTATAAAGACCATAGGAATGCCGCTGAGCTAGTACCATCAAACTGCAAATGAAGAAATTAAATGTCAAAATGGCAACAACAAAAACAAAACCCTCTGGTGTTTGCAAAACTATAATATGGTATGACCAGGAGCAATGTCCCTTTCACAATATCAGGATGCATCTACCTAACACCTGCAAAACCCACACTTAAACAGCTTTTATTTTCTCCCACATTGACATATGGTAAAGCTGCATACGTGAAAAAGTTAGGATGAGACAGAAATTGTTCTCAATAATTGATATTTAACTTATAAAATTTTTATTTCATCTTCTCTTTGTCCTCTTCCACCTCTTCTTTCCCTTCCACCTTCCTGTTCTCCTTCTCTTCTCCTCCTCCTCCTTTTTTTGTTTAGCTGTAACAATCAAGACATGCAACAAAATAAGGGATCTTATTATGATCTACTCAGCCACGTGGTATGTCCCCTTACCATAACTCAATCCACAAATGAGGTCACCCTCATGGAGACCATACCAGACAAAGCAAACATTTCCATAGCACCAATCCCCAGGGAATCTATGCATTTGCCTCCTTTTCTTTCTACTTCACAAATAAGCATTTACCAAAATATTTTCTAACACAGTAAAAAATAATAATAATAAAAATAAAGTTGGGTTTTTCATAGTCAAATTAATTTGATTGGATTCCCCTTATCCCCCAACACCCCCAACACCTCACACACACAATTTTCAGGCTCACACAAAACAGGCAGTTCTGTAACAGTTTCTTCAAATTATATCCCAAATCGGGGCATCTCCCTTCATCTCAGCTACGACCACCAAGTTCAACAAAGCAGTATCTCACCAGAACTATTCCATGGCTCCTCATCTTTTCAGCCTTCTGTTTCCCATGCCCAACCACATCCCTGATCTCGTCCCCTCTGAGCAGTCAGTACGATTTTTAAAGGTAAAATAAACTATGTTACCCACACTGCTTCCTTTACCACGTAGAACAAAATCCGAACTCCTTGTCAGACAGCACCATCTTTGGCCACCTCCCCACAATGCTCGAAGCATAGGGAGCCTCCGTGTGGAAACCAAGTTCAGCCCTGAGCGCCTTTACACTGGCTGCTCATTCCCCTCTGAAAGTTCTGCCCTTATGATCCCAGCACAACCAGCTCCTCTTGGCATCTCAGGCTTGTTCTAAAGAGCGCCACCTAAAACGGGCCCTTTCTGATCCGCCAGCTTCTGAAGGAGTGTAGCTGGCACCCTGGCATCTCACCTTTCTGTTTTATCTTCTCGTATTACTCACTATTTGGGGATCCTGTTTGTTCATCTTCCCCCCACCACCCCACCCAGAAGATAAGCTCTGTAAAGCAGGTACTTTTACTGACCTTCCTTCCTTAGTACCTAGAACATGGCTGGGCTTAAAGAGGTTCTCAACAAACTATTTGTTGGGTGTGTATGTTTGGATAACACTGGGCTTAAAAACAAACCAAAGTTCAACAAGTTTCTTGACTATAATATCTCTCTGAACAGGTCAAATGAGGAGATACAAATAAACACTGTATCTCCTGAGGGAGCAACAGTTATGCAGCATGTTTGAAATCTATTAGCCCCATATTCTTGGCTAGTATTTCCCAGAACATAAACAGGAGAACATTGTTTAACCCCATAGATATTTGGACTCTAATAACCAGACACTTTTAGAATGTTCCACCCTATTCCATGAGTCAAGGATCTAGTATAAAAGGTTAACTGTGTCACACTACCTAATATCCATCCTCACTTCATATTTAGCACACCGGGGTCTCCTTTTCTGTCAAAACCACACACATTTGCCTGAAAATGTCCATTTATACCAACCTTTTCTTTAGAATGGCTGATGAAGGGCAGTTTCATTTTTTAGACAGTATTTCCCAAATCTGAATGACATATTAAACATCCCAGTGCTCAGACTGGGCATTGTTGTACATGTGTGTGCACGTCTGATTCTTCACAGGCTCTCCAAGTCAGGGTAATGTGTCTCCAAGGTTGAGGACCACATTTATAGATATTCAATCATAATCAGACTTTCTTATACTTCTGATTCTATTTTCCTGGGTACGGCTGGCAGGTTAATACAATACCTAATTATGATTTTTGCAGGGAACAGCTGGATGATGAATTAGATAGCCCTCCAAAATATCTTGCATTTTTCCAAAATTAATATAAGTTCACAGATTGAGATAGATGGCACTATGACGATCTCAGCATTTTATGGGACTGGGAGAAAAGATGCAGGTAAGCGTGGCTACAGAGAGGCACATGGGAAGAGGACATCTGTAAGTGGAAGCCCTTCACAGCTTATGTGATCAATTTATGAGTTATTTAAATTTTGAGAATATAAAGAAGAAATATAAATTACTTAGTTTGTATAAGTTATAAAAAACATCTGGGCACATTCAAAATTTTAAGTGATTATTTCTTACAAGGGATAAGGGAAATTGTGAGGTGGGGAATATGAGATTTTAATCTAGTACAGTTTATTCATTTCTAAATTTTTTAACTAGCATGTACTAATTTTAAAATAATTAGCAAAATAAAGTAACACATATACACATAAGTGTGTACAATGACAGAACAGGCAAAAATATCACTTAGTAATGCTTTGGGTACCTTAAATAACATTCTAATATCAATAACATTGGGAAAACATGCACCGTTACTACTAATTAAATATATTTAACTGAACAATAATATTTGCATTTTTTGCTCCATGTGTTGATAACTTAAAACATAAGATAACAAAGATTCTGTTGTAGAATTCAATGATCTAACAGGAATTTTTGTATAGTGTCTATGACTGAAACAGGGGATTGATGCCATGTTGCTTTACAAATGAAAAGTCCAATGCATACTAATATTCCTAATGTAATTCCATTGCCTAAGAGACTTTTCTCAATTTGCTATAAGATTTTTTCATATCATTATAATTCATAAAGGAATGCATGAATTTAAATGTCTCATTCTCTTTTGAAAAAATAATTTTATTATGAGAATGTGTATGTCTTCCCTTATATCATAGATTCTGAATTTGAGCGTGGGTCTGCATGACCTGAGGTACTGTCACGCACTGCATCTGTGGGAGGGGCTTTAGAGTCTGCATTTCAATGCAGGTCAGAATGATTTGTGCTTTTGGTCTTTGGCCTGCTCCCTGAACATTGTTCAGGCTTGTGGATAAATCGTGCTCTTTTCACCTTGCTATTTTATCTCAAAATTTTTCAGAGAGAGAAAAGGTTTTAGGAGAAGAGTTTACTAGGGTTAACTTCCAAAAGTAGGAATAAGTAACAAATGTCTTTTGTGCTATCAATTGGACTGTCTTCAACATGAAAGGTTGTGTCTCAACATCAGACACAGCAGAAATACATATTATGAAGTTTTAATACTTGCCTCAAGGCTGTGAAGTATTTTTCTGCCCACCATAAAACTGAGGATAACAAAAATTATAGAGGTTATGTGCCTAGAACCACACAGCTAGAAAGTGACAGGGTAAGGATTTAATTCCATACTTCTCCGAATCAAAAGCCCATAATTTAGCTAAGCATCAAAAGGCCTCACTCTTACAGGACATGAAAGCAAACAACCTACCCTAGAGGAAACCTGATATTTTATCTGAGGGTTTTTTTCCCTTTTTCTCATAATTTATATTTAACATCTTTGACACATTTGAAATTAATGCAACTTAGATTATTACTGGCTGGGACATACCTCTTCCAGTTGATTTTACAGACAATAGGATTGTTCCATTAATTATATTTTCTCAAAATTAAAAGACAAATGTTCAATCATCAATAGGATACTTTCATATAAATGGTAACCTCCTAGTAGATGCATAATGTAAAAGAATATGCCATCAGATCATCAAATATATGAAATATCTAAAAGTAAAATTAAGGTGATGTGTCTTATGTGATTAAAATCAAAAGCCTTAATTATATTTTTCTTCAAGACTTGATGATTTTCAAACTCAATGAGGTGTTCATAGATGGGTTTAGAAATGTATTCTAACCAAGATAATTTATGGAGTTAATGAATTAAAGTTTCTCACAGGATTTTAAGTATTTTCATAGCGATTCTAAAGTTTATGAAGAAGTGTAATAGCATTAATTTCTTTTGCAAATAGTAATTGAGCAATTCATCTATGAAAGCCAAGATGCATAAAGGAAGATGGCCATATGGCAGTTCATAAGGGGCTCCAAAACATGGCTGTAATAAATCAGAAACATGGGACCAGTTACATGCTGTTATATAGCAGATTTGTAATTACATATAAAGCCGTCCAGCTCCCACCAAAATAAATAGTAATATGAGTAGAAA